TATATATATATATATATATATATATATATATATATATATATATATATATATATATGTTTTACATATTGATAATTATGAAAGTGTTAATATTAAACCACTTGATAAACACAAGTGTAATGTTAATAGATAATAAATATTTTTGTGTAATCATTTTTAAATAACATGTCACAACATTTTATAAATTAAAGACCAACAGAAAATTGTCGTACACTTGTGATTTTAGTATCAAACAAACCAAAAAATCTGGATTGTTTTTTCACTTATAAAAATTAACTAAACAATCAGGAAAAAAATGGGTTTTGAAAAAATAATAACCCGACTTTATAAAGAAAAATACCATAAAACAACTTGTAAGACTATTTTCTAATGTACTACAATTTTGTGGTGCTGTTTATTTTGAAATTTTTATACACGAATACTCGTATTCAAATGTATTTGGATTTAAATAAGAATAATGAATTCGTTTAAACAATTATTGTTAATAATTTGTGTTATTTAATGAGTTTTTAATTAAAAAATGGTGTGGTAATAATCAAAACAAAGTATATCAAAGGTTGGTATTTTTAATATTTTTATATGACAAAGTTTCGAAAAAAACCCAATTCTACAATTCATCATATGTTCATTTGTTTCTGTATCAACGAATAGTGATTCAAAATTACATCAATATTTTTATCTGTAAAATAGTTTCTAATACAATATGATTACAAAAATATATTTTTAATTATTTCTGTATTTGAATGAAAATATCTTTGTTTGTAACTTATAATAATAATCAACACCATATTATCCAATAAATAAAAGACAAACTTTAATTAAATAGACAAATTGAATAAAGTTTGTCATATATGTACATGTTCTTAAACCGAAAAGAAAATACTTTATTTAAAAAACACAAAACAATTGTTACCATTAAAAAAACAGAGTAAAAAATTTGTTGTTTTACGATCTTAATTGTCTGTAATAAACATCATGATATTTGATAATACATATAAGTGTGGAATTGATTTTTGATCACAAATAACGATGTTTGTTTTTTGGTATGATATCATTAAAGGAGTTGTTCTTTTAAAAAAGTATTTTTCTATTTTTTTTACACATTTCATTTTTTATTTGGCATTTATTTTTTAAAAAGTCTTTAATCTTTTTTAACCAAATTGATCTTTTTTCCTCTTTGTTTTTTATTCCAATTCTAATTTTATTTTTTTCTTATGCTTTTTCCTTCATTTTTTTTTCTGCCAAATATTTTTAAATCAACCAATCCGCAAAAAAACGGGAAATATTTTTTTTCATTAAAAAAACAATCTTTGGGTATTTTTTCCCTCCAGTTTGCATTAAATAAATAAAAACAAGTTTTTTCATATAAAATTCTGCAGTTTTGGGCTCAATAGCTTATTTTGGGACACCCTGATTGAAATTAAATTATATATTATAAACATATTTTTAACAATATAAATTATTTATTTATTTATAATAAATTCGTCAATAAAAGATACCTATATTTAATGTTTTTGTCAGAAAAAAAAATAAGTTCGTGTTTAATTATTAATAAATTATATTTTTTTAAATAAATAATCGAATAGAATTTACAATACTATTTTTGGTATTTCATATGATCTACCAATAAAACAAATATTCATCTGAAATGTAAACAGTAAACATACCGATTGCGTAAATATTAATTTATAGGTTTCTTTTTTAATATTTGGCAATGTTTTGATGAAAACACTAACGGTATAGGCGTTTTCATCAACAAAACATTTTTTCCAAAAAATGTTTTATAAAAAAAAGATTTGTAAGGTCAGATAGTAACATTATATTCGATAATGCCAAATAATTAAGTGAATTTAACTTGGAATATATTGTATTCTGATCAAATTTTAAATAGATTTTATCAAAATCCATTTTCACAAAAATTTATTTCATGTTTTAATAGTAAATAAAAATTATAAACAATATACTTCGATTTTATATTTCAAGTGTTTAAATATTGAAATTATAAATCATTAGTTACTCAATTTAATATTTACTTGTTTTTAAATTTAACAAAAATTTAGAATTATTTTGTTTATTTGTCAAAACACCAATTAAATAAACAGTCAATAAATTTTTAGTTTTTATCTGTTTTTGATATATTATTAAGATGATCCGCCTTGATGGATACCACATAATGGTCGTTTCAAAATATTTGTTAACAATAAACGACTTTATAAACATCCAATCGGTGAACACAAAATTTAAAGACAACATGTTAAAATTCCATTTTAATCCAATTTCACTGAACAGCAAGACTATAAGTTACTTTCCAAACATCGAAACACTTAACTTGTGGTCAAAAGATGATGAAAATTTTGGGAATGTTATTTTCGACGATTATTTTGGTGTTTTAAACATGTTCAAATCTTTCTTTAAAAAGAAATTTTTCCAAGTAGTTGTTTGGTTTACTGTTGATTGTAAGACAGTTACTCTTAATAAGAACAACAACATCCTTTTTAAAAATGTGACATTTACCAACAAAGATTTGAAAAGATATAAAAATATTCCTTTGTCATTAAATGTAACATCACTGGATATCAAGTGTTATAAAAATTCGACCAATTTGACCTCGATTAACTTACCAAGTTGTATAACATCGATCGGACGATCTTGTTTTGCCAATTGTATACATATGCAAAATATCACTATTCCAAACAGTGTTCGATCAATCGACGAGTTTTGTTTTAAACGGTGTTACTATTTGTCTCGCATCGATTTTTGAGAAAGCATCACAACACTTCCCAAATATTGTTTTTTTAAATGCGTTTCATTGACAAGTTTTATAATACCAAGTAAAGTAATATCAATTGGAAAGGGGTGTTTTGAGGAGTGTTGCAATTTAAAAACAGTAACAATACCAGAAAGTGTCACAAGAATAAATAATCATTGTTTTGAAGGATGCAGCAAGTTGGGTTCAATTTCAATTCCACAAAGTGTTCAATTTATTGGTTACGACTGCTTTAAGACATGCACTTCGCTCACTAAATTGTCAATACCGCATTTGATTGATACTTTTCAATTTGAATGCACATTTGGGTGTCAAGGGTATCATGGCTACAAATGTATATGTGGGACAGATGTGTTATTTGGCATCGAAATATCGATGACTGTCATCGATATCAATAACACACATATTAATTCCGACCAGAAATTAATGAGTCTTGAAGTACCAAAACACATCACTGCAATTATGTCGTATTGTTTTGCATATCACAGTGACTTGATCAGTATAACAATATCATCCAATGTAAAATCAATCGGTGTGAACTGTTTCGATTCCTGTATAAAATTGGAAGACGTTGTTATACCAGAAAGTGCAACATCAATTGGAAATAGCTGTTTGTATTATTGCAATATCAGTTGTATCACTTTGCCACCAAATATCACATCAATTGGAAAACACTGTTTTGCTTATTGTAGCAAGCTGAGTGAAATAGTTATACCTACTAAAGTCGAATATATCGGAGAAAACTGTTTTGAAGGATGTGAAGTGTTAAGCAAAATTGAAATTCCAAAAAGTGTCACTAAAATAGGAGCAAGTTGTTTTTATAAATGTAACACACTAAACATTAACGATATACCTATTGATTTAAGATATGACGAATTATTTACAGCCAATTACATTGATTTTTCCGCTTGATATTTTTAATTTGCAAAACCCAACTTTTATAATTTACAATTTATGGCTGTTCGGCGACTTTTGATATTACTGAGAAGTTGGCGACTTTTTGAGTCCCTTCAAAAATCGCCGACTTCTTTTAGAACTAAAGAACTATTAACTTTAATAAATTATATCATATTCATTATTGTCTCAAAAATGTGTAAAAACACAATAGTTGTTATAATTTGTTATATTATAATCATATAAATATAATTTAAAAAATGATTTGAGAAGATATAATTGGGACGGTATTGTTTCATTTTATTTTTTAATAATAATTATATTAAATTTATATGGTTTATTTTTTCAATTCCTTTTACATGATAAATAGTATTTTGAATAGTTATTTAACTAAATATTTAGGTCAGCGACTTTTAAGACCACTAAAAAGTCGGCGATTTTTAAAGAGACTGAAAAGTCGCCGAACAGCTATTATATTGTTGAATATAAAAGCAAATACTATTTTTTGTTGTTTTAAAAAGTATTTAACAATTTTATTTTTTTTCTCAAAACATTATAACAATAATTGTTTAATTTGACACTAATATATATAATTGACCAAACAGTATATTTAATCGTAACATGGATGACATTTTTATGTTAATTTTATTGAGTTTCTTTGATTGAATTTACAAGTCACATATCCACGTTTATATTTGAAAAATTTAACAATTATTAAAGAACACCAAAAAAACAAAATGCAAGAGGTGGGGTTCGAACCCATGTCTTCGAAAAAACTCATACCTGAAACGAGCGCCTTGGACCACTCGGCCACTCTTGCTTTACTGAACAAACAATTCGTTGTTTATTATATGACAATTAAAAACAATTGTATTTCTACAAAACCCATCACAATCTTATATTGGTTTTACGGTTTTTAATATTTTAAAACACACAAATTATATCAAGAATAAATAATATAATAGATAAGTAGCATTTGTGGTCTAAGGGCAGAATTCCACCCTTCCAAGGTGGAGATCCGGGTTCGAGTCCCGGCAAATGCATTTTTTATTGTCAGGAAACCACGTTCGAATAAATTATTTGTGTTTTAACACAAACTACATTAAAACCTCCCAAAAGTAATACCTCTAAAAAAGTTTTCTCATGAGTAGGCATTTTTAAGACTGGAACTAAAAATATTATTCTCTATCTAGCGGGTTTGATTATCTAAAAATGCCGGTTTCTTAGAAGTTTTACCATATAAATAAATATAAAATAATAAAATAAAAATTTATCATGTAAAATGAATTACAAATCACAACGAATTCATAAAGACGAAATGCTTAAAACCCACCTCTCAATCTCAAGACAAGGTGAAGCGTTGATTCTTTCTGAATGTTGTAGTCAGAGAGCGTCTTTCCCTCTTCAAGTTGTTTGCCAGCAAAGATGAGTCTCTGTTGGTCTGGTGGAATACCTTCCTTCTCTTGTATTTTTGCCTTAATAGCATCAATAGAATCGTTTGGCTCCACTTCCAAAGTGATTGTCTTTCCTGTGAGGGTCTTCACAAATATTTGCATTGTTTGAATTCATATGGTAAAATTCATTTTTATATGCTCCTTTGACATACCTCAATGACGTGGTAATTGGTTTGATACTATTAGTAATAAATGATCAAATTATCGTTCGATACTATTTATAATACTATAATTAAATAATATATTTATTACTTGTTATAACTTTATGGAATTAATAATATTTAGAATTATTGTAAACTTAAACAGAGTTAGACATTTTTTTGTTGTTTGGCAAAATAAAAAACATTAGAAGAGAAATAAGTAGTTGTACAAAAGCTATTAACAATTGTATATTTAATTATTAATATACCATATTATGTGCCCCATCTAAAAATATTTTTATTTTTCAGGTAAAAATGTATTATATTATATTTATTATTTTATAAGTATTATATTAATATTAAAACTCAAAATTTAACCATATAATAACAATCAAATATAGTACAAAAAAGAAGTAATAATTCAATAGTGATAAATAAATTAAAAAAATTTCCCGAAATATTAAATTAAATAAATGATAAAAAAAATCAAATTCATTGTTTATTTTATTTTTTAAGTTACATTTGAATGAAAAATGTCAAATCTAACACAAAACGTGATAACATGTTAATAAAAACGGGAAATTAAAAACAGAGTTCCCCAAGTGTTGCAAAACGGTAGCAGGTTTAATAATTTTTAGCTTTTGTCATATCAAAAAAATTTTTATTTAAAAAAAATAATTTGAAAAAAAAGTTTGTTAATAAATCCTGTTCTTTTTTTATTGATTCTAAAATAAAAATAAGCAAAATTCCAATAAATAAGTGGTAATCTTGATAATAATACCAACAAAAAACAACCAATCAATTTTAAGTATTGTTGGGTTGTTTAACCTTATGATGGTGTTTGTGTAATTTAAATATCACTTATTTTCAATATTCGTTTTTTGGAAATTTATTTTTAATTTTTAATTATCATTATACAATTAACCCGAAAAACTCAAAATTGTAGATAATAAACTGTTTTTGATTTTTGACCATTTTATTTGCACAATCGATACAAACAAAAACGAAATGTAAATAACACACCGGTTGACAGCAAAAATAGCAACCACTTTTAATTTTTGATTTACATTGGCCACAACAAAGTTTACATGTTCCCAACTTTTCAAGTTTTGTACATAGTGACCTTTTTCTTATTGCTTCAACTTTTTTCGTAGCTCAATTGATATAAGTTCCAACATAGTGTTCATTGATGACGGAGTTTGACATTAAAGTACGGGCGCTTTAACTATACATATTGTATTATTAACATCAAAATTTATAATTTCATTTTCACTGAAAATGTGACTAAATATAACAGATTTTTCGATTGTTTTGTACTTTTAGCTTTTGTTTTGACGTGTGGCTGACACAACTTTATACTCAAACCAATCAAGAATTTTTCTCTTTTGATCGTTTTGTTTGTATAACAATATGCATTTAAAGCACATATATCCACAATTTCAAAAAAAAACATTGCCAAAGGCCACCTTCTCGTTCCTCTTTTACAAGAATACTGTTTTACCATTTTGTTAACCGAATCGACTCCTCCCATGTTTTTGTTATAACTTATTTGAATTTAAAATGAACAATTTTTTATTAAAAATGATAGGCAGTTTTTTGGTCGACAAAAATAATGTAATTATTATGATAAAACAAAACTATTTGTTTTATCATAATAATTCAACATGACAATTTCAATTGGAGTATCTCTTATTACCATTTTGCAAATTTTGACTAAATTTAAAGTTAAAAAACCTTTTGTGACATTGTTTTTCTTTGAATATTTTTGGGACGAATATTCGTTCTTTTCTACAAGTTTCCACAACATCAATATCTCGTTTATTTAATTCAAGAGCAATATCAACAGTTGTAAATAAATTGTCCATATAAAGAGTCATATTAGTTCCATAAAACGGGAAAAAGCTTCAACAATTTTTCTATTTTTTTCTTCATTTCCACTGTTTTTTCCTAAAAATGGTTTTGCATTTATTACCATCCCAGTATAGTTGTCTACCATGA